AAACGCATAATCGCACCGGCCCGCCTGGTGCGTTCCAGCCTGGGTTCATCTCGAGACCTACAAAAGTTATGGGGCTGAAATTTTGGGAACTTAATCTACATGTATTTTTGGGTCCCCATTCTCAAAATGGGCGGTCTTACCCGCTTGGTTCCCACGTAGGAGCTCGCCTAAGTTTTTTACGATTAAGCTGCTAACTCGGAAACCAGAAACGCTTGGGGGCTGAAATTTTAAGGGGATGTTTCCCGTCCACCTAAGTTTCATTGAGCTTAAACCCAGCCCTCGGATAAGCATGGTACCCGCGTACGGGCCCGCCAAATTTTTTTTCAGGTAACCTCATGACTCAGGAATCTGAGAAGCTTGAAGGCTGAAATCTTAGGGCGATTTTCCCTGTCCAAGTGGATATCAATGTGCTCAAACCCAGCCCTCGGGTAAGCGTGGTACCCATGTACGGGCTCACCAAAGTTTTTTTTCGGGTGAGTCGCTAACTCGAGAACCTGAAGAGCTAGAAGACTGTAGTTTTAAGTGGATGTTCGCCATCCATCTAAGTCTCAACGAGCTCAAACCCAGACATCGGGTATGCGTGGTACCCACGTATGGCCCGTGAAAGTTTTTTTCCAGTAAACTGCTAACTCAGGAGCTAGGAAAGTTAGAAAGCTGAAATTTTAAGGAGCTGTTTCCTGATAGTTCTGGCGGCAAGTCTTAATTTGTTTAGATAGAAGCATTTGCCGGGAAAACTGGTGCTGGTAGCAACAAAAGCTGCTGGGAACTACGCAAAAAACGCATCTTCGTACGGGCAGCCCGTGCGCAGGCCAATAATTACCATTGACATAGCGGACAACTTTTCTATTCTTCTATATTTTGAGTCTCATTCATCTAGATAATTTTATATAGCGGCTCAAGCCAATAAGTTTATATGCCTTTGGTGGCCTTTCCTGCATTCTTTTAACATTACAGTTTACTATATATTGAAAGTGGAGTAATAACTACAGATATGGTATTGGAATGGGTATAGCAATGATGATGCAGCAAGCCACCGCCCTAGCTGCTGCCTCGCATGGCATTGACTTGGTGGCCCTGGAAGGCCAAGTGAGAAAGGCGAAGGCCGAGGGTCGAACTGTCACTGCAGTAAATGGATGTATATATATTGACTATCAGCTGGTTGCGCGAATACCTCCTGGTATCGAATTTCGAGTTTAGCTCATGCACTGAACGCTACTGATCGACAAAGATGGCCAAAAATTCGCGATCACAGCACTTGAATGTACCAGTCTTTGTGAGGTCATTTTCCTCTCTTTTCTTATGGTTGTCCTCTTCCACCTGCTATTTTCATCAAATTCACAGGCATCAATTATCGAAGTGGTTTTGACTTTTCGGTTTTGGTTATTTTTCAGACTGCGCATAAAATTAATTTTGTGAGCAGAAGCAGTTTGAGTGGAAAGATAGTTTGCCTTTCCAAGGAAGCAAAACGTCATCAACTTATTTAACTCCACTTAAAGGTTTATATTGTGTGACTTGCATGTGCTTTACACTTTGATTAGCTGCTATTTCATCATGGCGCACCTTTTATCATTAATAGCTGTTATTTTTTGTTGCCACAGTCGAACCTACGTCACCCACCTGATTGTTAGTCCCGTCAGCCTTCCTTTGATAGCAGCTTTCCATTTCTTTTTTCCTGCGTCATTGTTGTTCTGAAAGGAAGAGCCAGACCTATTGCGTTTCCTCCGCCATTTGTTTGAGCCTTAGAACAGTACTTTAAGAAGGTAGGGAGCTCCGGAGGGAGTTAACTGAAATTTTCATGAATACTAGAAATTTGATTTTAACCGCACTGAAGGCTTTTTTCCTACTTGTTACGTGCCGAGGAAATCAATCGTGGGTGCCTCTGTGTCGATTGAAAGTATGTTGTTACTTGTTTCAGCCCAGCATTTTGATGTTGTCAATGCACTGTTTCAAAGAGATGTTCGAAAGTTTGTTTGCAAAAAATTTTGTCTCCTTAAGCTCGAGAAGCAGTTGTGGTCAATTGAAAACTTCTGAATATTTCAGTGTGTATTAAATCGATGATGACCGGTAGCGTAATACATTTTAACAACTAGCCAAAGAATTTTATGCAAAGAATTATCGAAATCATAGTACAGGGGTTCCACTTCTAGTGATGTTGTAGGAATGCTCACCCACATTTTAGTCGCGTTTGTACCAGTTCATTTGATTTTGAGCTGTTTATCCAACTTTAACTCAAACCGCCTATCCGTCAAATGTGCATAATCTTCTCGCTGGCAAAATCTGCTAAAACGCGATATCCACCAGATGGCAGCAAAGTAAGCTCTGAAACATTATTATTCGTTACTATCTTTATTTTTATTTTCACAGTATTTATGCATAAGTGGAGCAGACAGAGAAAATCAGAAACTTGAAAAGCGGTATTCAAAAATGCACCAAAAAAGCCATAATAGATGAGCTAGGGACGTGATAACAGAAAATTACATATACAAGAGTGTAATATCAATAGCTATTAAGTAATACTAATCTAAAAGAATAGTGTAAAAATAATGCAAATGAAAGAACGCAAAAATAATTGTATTATTATAAACAATAAATGTAAAATTGATTTTGGACTACAAATTTGTATTTTCTTGACGTACAGTGACGCTATCGACAAATCTCAGAGCAGGCGTGCTACTGACATCAATGACGACAACGTGAGTTTCTTCGCGCAGTCTCAATTCCCCCACTGCACTTGTCAAGGATCGATACCGCATTTTAGAAGGAAACGTTTCCAGTCACGTTCCCCTGCTTCAGCTTCTGAAAAATCGCTTTATTTCCGTTCATTCCTGCTGTATTACTAATAGATTTTGGTGTAAAACTGTTGATTATTCAAACAAACAAGGATTACAACAGGGCCGTCCAATGAACTGGATAAAAACTATAGCGACAAAGTAAAAGTGGCTGTATCATTTGTCGTATTCACTCAAAGTAAAATGCAGCGTATTCTTATCACAACCCAGGCTGGAACGTACGAGGTGGGTCCGTGCCATAGTGTGTTTTTGCACCGGACTTAAAGTACTCAGGTCATTGACTGCATGAATGGCTTTGCTTTACACCTACC